TTTGAAAAAACACAAAATTCGCGATACTTTTTGAACAGACCTCGTACTTAAAGAATCAATATAAAAACTTTTCAAAATTACTATTATAAAGCACTCTTCAAACCATTCATTTTCATTCGGAATATTTGTCTATTTCTTATAATTTTTACAATATTCGCTTCGAAAGAAAAATACCGATTTTTTTTCAAAAGGGTATTTCATTCCTTAAAAATGCGTATGGGTACATATAAAAAAAATATGTATCCCTTATTTTGATTTGAAGTACAACATATTACGTTTATCACAATCAGAGGGAGACGCTTTTGTCCTGTTACATGTGAGTAAAAGAGACTCACTTTACTATCATAAACAAGTAGCAAGCATGAATGGTTAATATAATAAACATTGTATCCGCGGCGATGCTGTTAAATATAGCCACCGTCCCAGCCATGTTGCTGTGCAACCATAACCAGAACCAATAGGTTTGTATGTCAACTCCGTAATCAAGTTCAAAGCCTAAGCCTCTTAGGCGGGTCTCATTACGAGGTAAAACAATATCCAGCATCGGCGAAATTGTCGGTGCTAGAATGAAGCACATAAGTCCACCGCACATAATTACTGAAAAGATAGAAATAATGTTATATATGCTCGCCACGTTGACAAGTATTTATCATACTTGCGTATACGATACAAAATGTCTTCGTTTCTGACGCGTAATTCTGTAGAATTTTATTTTCCCCTTTGCTCGACACTCTCTCCCATTCTGTTTGAATTTGCCGTAACAGTATTTTCATCTAGCGATTTTTTGAGAAGATATGCGGTGTATTTGAATCGTAATGTGTGCCTATCTACATTAAGAAACCTATTTAATTTACTTAACACGTTCCCTGCCAGACCGTTTTTTGAAGACTTTCCGTTCAGGCCGCATGGGGCGTATGCGCCCCATGCTTTACAATTGTATTGTTTTGTTTCTGGCGTATGCCTAACAATAATTAAAAAATCATAATTATCAAGGAAAGGGTGTATAGTTTAAGATGCATAACACAACAAACCAATAAATTTATTTTTCTAGGAATTAGTTTAACAAATACCTGGCTGAATATTACTCTACCAAGCGAGTTGCATCCTCACATATCATTTTTTTTATCATGCCTATATAAGTTTAAAATAAAACATTTTAATTGAAATCAAGTTTGTATACAATCACAAAGGGATATTACGGTGAACTTTGTTAAAACATGGCAAACATAAGTCTAGTTTATCCACACAACTATCGCAGAATGTTGCAACTTTTACAGTACAGTTTCTTGCCGATTGGGAACCTAAATTTTTAACATTTTTTTCGTAACAAATTTTGCAGCGCCTTCTTATCGAATTAAAGCGGCCTTCCTTTTTTTAAATTTCGTGTCGATTTCTTCTTGGTCCAATTAGTAGAGAATTATTATTATTATCATTATTATTACATGACATCAGATTCATTGCTAATTTTTTTCGGAATTCGATGCTTGTTTTTTTTTTGGTTTGTAAGACTGTTATATATAATCCATGAATTCACTACAGCTGTGTTCAGGCAAAGTTCAAATACAATTTTTTGTACCACTTTACTGATTTTCGTAGAGAACTGCAATATGAAGCCATTTGATCGGAGATATCTACATAAGACTTTCCTTCATTATAATCCACAATAATCTTCGGTTTTGCAGTTAAAACAAGTTGCGGTGAAAAACAGTTGTCTATCGCGCCGCGTGGGGCGTATACGCCCCATGATCAAATGAGCGTATCAACAATAGTATTAAGATGCCTATAATTGACTGCATAATGAATTTTTAAAAAATTCTTCATTTTACAATGATAATACCAAATGGCTTGAACGGAAAGTTCAGCGTGGGGAGCATACGCCCCACGCGGCAAGGAACGTGTTAAACAAAATGCTCGTTTGGACATGGGTAAATGTTTTGATTATGAAAGCCAAAATTTAGTTTTTTGAAAAGAAGATGAAAAAGGTTTGATTTAGAGAACTAAAACTTTTGATTCAGGGAACCAAATGTTGGCTCTCACAGCTAAAACATTTGTTTGTTCACATTCACACAAGTATTATGTTTGAGTCGACTAAATGGATTTCTCAATGTATTATACTCTGTGATACATCGATAACAATTTAAACGAATGGATTGATCATTTACGATATATATATAGTAACAGTTATATTATAATACCTCTGTTCTAAATATCTTCAAAGTCAAGATCTTAGACAAAACCAAAAATATAGTAAGGATCGGCGGCATACATATGCACACTGCGTCCATATCTTCTCCCCAGACTTGGTGCAGTCTCTTTAACTATATCAGAGAGAAACAAACGATAAAATTTATTTATCAGTTCTGTGTTTGTTACTCTATGTCATAATTTAAAGCCATTCATATAAAAATTGCTACATTTTAATTAATAATTAATAATGGTGCAATTCTCTCTACACAAAGAAAAAAATTCCTTTGGATTAATAAATTTTTTTTTATTGAAATAAACTTGTTTTTTGGAATGGAGCAAACAAATAAATATTTGATTCAACAAATGGGATTGTTTCTCAAATAATATCTTTACTCAAATAAATATCTTTACACTAATAATATATATTTTTATATTTTCGTCCAACCATTACATTGGTTATCACAAACAATAAATTATTTGAAAGAAGTAATACTATGTTAGAAAAATATTAAAAATTGCTTTGTTTCAATGGAACAATATTTAATATATAATGAAATAAATTTTGTTTATTGGAAACTAAATATTATATATATTTCCTCTAAATATTAGGGGTACCCATGAGTAATGTCGTTTTTTCAGATTGAATAAATATCCACTATGAGGTTTTGAATCCCAATGAAACCATAACTGCTGAATATTATTATACACAGCTTGATAGGCTGAACATTGCTTTGCTTCAAAAATACCCAAGACTGATTAATCGAAAGGGTATCATTCTCTAGCATGATAACGTAAGATTTCATAGCGCCAGAATCACCCAAAAAAAATCAAGAAGTTGAAGTAGTCCTCCCTCACCCGCCATATTCTTCAGAAGCTGCTCCGTCAGACTACTACTCCTTTAGATCAATGGAGCATTTTCTTTGTGGGAAAAACTTTTCTACTACAGCAGCCATCAAAACTGCACTAGAAGAATATTTTGCCATAAAACCACCCTCATTTTACAAGAAGGGAATTAAAAGTTCGCCAGAGAGATGGAAGAAGATTATCACTAATGATGGGAATTATTTTGTAGAGTAATCTGTACTAAATATTAAATAAAATAAAGTTTTGTATAAAAATCAAAAAGCAGCATTACTTATGAGTATCCCTAATAATACTGTTTTTTTCTATCAAACAATATGGTTTATTCTAATCAAACAACAATATTTGCATTCAAACAAAATGATATATGATACTAAATTATATTGTTTATAATAAACAAACTCAAATCAAACAAATATGTATACTAAATCTGAAGAAATCTTTTTCCCTGTGTAGCTCGCTATCGCATACGTTACAGTTGTTTGGTATTATTAGGTGTACAACTTTGCTCTCGCCGTTTTTTTTTTAATTTGAGGCTTTATTGCAAAAAATGGAGATAAAGTTATGACTCAAAATATTGTCCATCACTGGCCANAAAAGTATCTAATTGTTTTTCAAATTATTTATTATTTGCGATATTTTACGTGTCATCAACTTTCTGTTAATTATATAAGATATCTATATTTCTCGATGTGTGACAAAAGAGAAATAAATATTATCTTTACCTGAGGTGGAAGATATGAAAATAATATAAAAATGTTGAACAATTGGATGATCTTCCTTTTATTTTGCGCTTGATATGGCCATAAGCCGACCATTGAGCAAAATAGTTTGCTCAGATAATAGTAAGGCATATCAAACAACGTACTCATGTTTACCCGCGCACGTATCGAATACTTCTGACAAAACAGCGGAAGATGATGCATCAATAAGGGGATTATTACAATGAAACTTTCGTTGATAATACATTCATGTCCGACGTCTAGAGAGTGCGCTTAGTAAAATTATAGTGTACGAAATATGAATTTTTCATGCCACAACAGGGGCCACCGGGACATGAAGTTAAAGTAGAGAAAATGATAGATACTGTAAGAACAGAATAAATGTATCGTGGTATAGCAAGAAAAATATAAAATGTAACATGTCAATGTGACAATGAGACACTATGCATAGAGTGTCTCACAATACACAATAATATGCCGGGTTGTCTCTGGCTGGCATGAGAAAAAGAAAAAGAGAAAGACTGAAAATTAGTCGCGCATGCTCTCTCTCTTTCTCTCTCTCTCTCTCTCTCCCTCTCTTTCTATTCATGTCTTTTAGACATTGTTACGTCCTGGAAGAGGACGAACGCAACATAATCGCTTACTTGCGCACTCGCGAGCCCTAAACGTACTGGTAGGTCTGCAGATCAGGTCAAGGTCCGAAGAGGCCCATTTACTCTGATCACGCACATTTACTCTGAACGTACGTTAGGTGGTCCTTTATTTAGGTCAAAGAACTTAATCTCTTTACCTGGGATAGGACCATATGAGCGTGTTGAGAGGGGAATTTAGATTTAGGTAATTGCAAGGAGATGAATAAATAGTTTTAACGACTTGATTAAATTTAGAGCATTTTGAATAAAACAGTTTATTAATAACATAATTTGGTTCTCGGATGGATTAATAATAGTGGTAAATTGATAAGAAAAGTCATTGTAAAAGATACAACATTTAAAAGATGAAAGGGTTAGCTAAAGTTAAACAATGAGATATGTGGGTTAACATTAAACAACTTTTATAAATCAGCATTATTGGAATAATGCGAATATAAGATGAAAATTAAAGTGAGATTAAGATAAAAAGGTAATCCGTGTAACTTAATATAATACGATTGGATTTAACGTAACAAGAATATTTAACGTATCGATATGGCGAGGAAAACATCATTATATAATTCAAGGAAGGTAATAACTGTGTATGGTTTGAGGAGTGAAGTAGGATTGGAGATTGGATTGAAATGATTAAAAGTCATGGTTAAATATGAAATGAAGACTTACTATTTAGATGAATCAATGACTGACGACTGAAGACGAATGAAGACGAAGACGAAGACTACAGAAGAAGATTTGAGAATGAGAATGAAGAAGACTGAGACTGAACTGACTCTTGGACTGCTGAAGACTGAATATTAACTTCAACTGGACTTGAACTTGAACTGAACTGAACTCACGGCAAAAGAGTGAGGCTTATATAGGAAAGACTTCAGGGGGTGGTGGATGACGATCACTAATAAAAGAAAATTTCGTGGGAAATAGTTATTCTAGAAAATTCTTAATACTATTTGGATGTCATAAATGATCCTAAGAACATAAACCTATCAAAGGGCCTTCGTTCGACCGGCTATGTACATAAGCGGATAAGATCGCAGACCCATCGGGAGTCTTATGACGTATTTGGGCGGCGTGTAATCGTGTCTTTTCCATAAAAGCGCTTGTTTAAATCTGTTTGTTTTACAATCATAAAAGAAAGAATTCGCTGCTATCTAGGTACCCAGGATGTACAGATACGTGCCTAACGTAGAGGCGGCAAGATTATCTTAGTTATAAAAAAGGAATTTGTTGTCCCCGGGGTACCCAGGAAGTAAATAAACTACATACCTGTCGTGAAGGCGGAAAAGATGATAGACGCATTGGGAACCGTACGGCACGTTTAGCGGCGGCCATTGTAATCTTATCTTTATTACA